GAAGGAGAGGCTGGCGTCAGAGACTTCAGGGTGATGGAGGATAATTCTGAGGCCGCGAGACTGCGACGAGACCCGAGCTTGGAATTAGCGCGGCAGAGAGCAGAGCTTTTGGGGCTGCCTCCTCCCCCGGAACCAAGGAAAGTTCAGGACGTCATACCCTCTTCGCCCCCACCATCGTACGAGCACGTTCTCGCTGAGGTGAGTTGACGCGAATCCTGGCCTAGCTCATTAATTAATTTACTTATGGTTTAATTAACACTTTGTACTCTTAGCCAGATATTATTAGGGTGATCAAATCAAGAAGGATAATATGGGCGGGTTATGTAGACCAGTGGTATTCAACCTGGGGTACGCGAAGACATCTTAGGGGGTACGTGAAATTTTAAAAAAAATATTATTTTACGATAAACACTGAATAATCAGTAATGTAATTTATTTAATTTATTTTAAATGTAGATTATATACTATGTATAACTTTAATTATACACCAACAACTTTGGGGGTACAAAGTTGAAGAGAAATTATATCTGGGGGCACGCGAAGACATCTTAGGGGGTACGTGAAATTTTTAAACAAATATTATTTTATGATGAATACTGAATAATGAGTAATGTAAATCCCTACGACTCAGCCCCACCATCTGGAAGACGTTCTTTTACCTGGAGTTTTGTGAATTAGGGAGTACTTAGAGTAGGCGTTGTGCTGAGCTGACTACTACGTCCATCTGGTGAAGAAATCTGGAATACATTCTATCTCTTTTATCTCATACGTGACTTCGGGGAAAAGAAAATTGTTGTCATGTTTCCTTGCAGAGAGCAGAGGCTGAGTTACAGCCTACGGGGTTAACGTCTCAGTGGGATGTTCCCCTTGTTTGTCGTAAGAAGTTTCCAGTGTTCTTGAGTTTTAAACTCTTCGCATGTAGGTCTATAGTTTTACAGACACTTCTGAGGGTCTGTTCTTCTGTTCTTGAGAACGACAGCTTCTTTTTTTTTATCTGAAGGGTAAAGTTAATCAATAGCCAAATCGGGGCCTGCGAAAGACAAGATCCTTAAAGTTATTGACTGTAGCTTTCTGTCTGTACACGAAACGAAAGAATAACTTGAGACAGATAGTTCGATTGCGTCAAAATTTTGCCGAAAGAGGACGGGTCACCATTATCAGCCAGTATACAGAGGATGGACACAAAGTTTATTTTCAATTTTGAAAAAAAAAAGTTAACATTTAATGTAATTACATTTAAAGAACAGAAATTCAGTCTTTGCTCTCTTACACATCTGTCTAGGGTGGATAATGACGTACTGCAGACAAATTCAGAAATTTAACTTTCGATGTGAGATTTGAGGTTACCACGACAGTCACATGTCAGTTGTGACGCCGTGAAATCTTGAAGGTTAGGTTACCAACGTTTCGGAGGAACATATTGCTTCCATCTTCAGGACTGAAGATGACATCCCAAACGTTAGTAACCGATTACAAGACTACACGTATTTATAACAACATAAAATCACAATCGATGCATTTCCTTGCATTTTCTTTAGTTTCCATAAAGAATAGAAGTGCTGGATTTGTAACGCGACGTAGAATTTTATTTAAAGAAATGTTAACTTGAAGTTAATCGTGCTGATTTTACAGGTTTCTCCATGACATTAAGTCAGATCTACAGACGAAGGCCAGTCTGTACCAGTATATATATATATATATATATATATATATATATATAAAGATTAATCACGTGACTGGAACAGTATTTCTTATATATTTTATGTTTAGTGTATTTAAATTATAAATACGAGTTACTCTGTTGTCTTATGCAGACCAGACTGGCAGCGGCAAAGGCGGAGTCCGCGTGTCGAACCCCGGACGAGGAGACGGAGGAGCGGAGTACAAAGGGAACAGTGGCAAAGCGACCAGAAATCCTCCACAAGTCGAGCAAGGAGCTGTACCGGGCTGTGGCAGCCCAATGGGGCATCACGTGCAAGATGAGCGACCACTGTCGCTGCCTTGACTGCCAGGTGGGTCACGTGGTGAAAAAAGTATTCCGAAGGACACTAGGTTTCAATGCCACTTGTAAGCTAATAGTGTCTTGCCGTCGTACAGATTAAGCGAGAGCGCGTCCTTAAGTCATCACAGCGAAATGTTCTACGTGATCGTGTCACTGTTTTTCATTTTCGTGAAAATCTTTTATCGTGCCGTAAGAAATTTCAGGCACTGTATTAAACAACGTTTTTGTTACCCGTTTCCCCTACCCAGAACGTTAACAAGTACGAAAATATAATTTTTAAACAGTTTAAATAGTTGGTGGTTTCTACGTGTCGATCGTGGACCTGACGTCATCTTATCGACTCTGGACACAACGAAAAGAATGTGAAAACTTGTCAATTCTATTTCTGCGAAAAGAGCGTAATTTTTTATATATATATATATATATTTTTTCAAGTAACAATGTTAAAGCATTTTATTGAAAATAACATTCAATTTTCTTAATTATTCGGTTTTTGTCAGTCTAATCACAATTCATATATAAATTTACAATTAAGATAATTAAAATATCATTTTATGTTCCTCATCGAACAATCGATTTACAATTGGAACATCTTTTTACAACATGTTTCGGTTTCTATATAAACCATCTTCAGGTGTAAAAGTTAAAATTATAAACTTAAAACTTAATTACAATTTCTGATATGCAACATTTTGGTGATGTTCACTTCCAGATTCATTGTAATTAAGTTTTAAGTTTATAATTTTAACTTTTACACCTGAAGATGGTTTATATAGAAACCGAAACATGTTGTAAAAAGATGTTCCAATTGTAAATCGATTGTTCGATGAGGAACATAAAATGATATTTTAATTATCTTAATTGTAAATTTATATATGAATTGTGATTAGACGGACAAAAACCGAATAATTAATTAAATTTCACAATATGACGCAACTATATCATCTTATTCAATTTTCTTTCAGAAAATTTAAGATAGAATTATCTTTACCCCCAAGTGCAAAGTTTTTTCTTTGCATTACGAACTATGCCAAGCGGACTGTTGTGGAATAAATTACAGACTTCATAAGTCTTATATTTACAGATAATATCTATTATTAGCCTGGGTTTTCTTAAACTGAACTATAACGTAAAAATGACTTTGGTTATTTAATGGGACAATCTTGTTTTGATGACAATGTCCGTCTATTTTACGACGACAGCGCTGTCTAGTGATTGTTTGATTCATTAACGATTTCCATGTAACAAAAGAGAGGTCGAATTGTTACAAATATAAAAGGATTTATGAACACACAGGGGAAAACAATGCAAGCGGAGACCACCAAATAAAAGGATTGTTTAAGATTTGAAGAAATGAAACGTTTCACTAGCGTTAAGTCCTTTGTTGTAAACCCATCCGTGCGCGCGCAACAAATGAACATCGCGAGCGTGTTTAATAAAATGGCCACGTTTCCTGTTTGCAGGGTCGTTATTTCGACTGTGAATACGACCAGAACGATCAGGAAAAAACTGACGGAGGTCTCGGAGCGGGTACGCCGATGTTCATCTCGGAAGTGATTCACGGGACGGCTTGCAACATCCTCTGAACTACGCGGTTTTAGTCCTGCGCGGAGTGTTCTGATACACGCCTCGCTCGTGAAATCGTCTGCTAACCTCAATGTCTCTTATGCATAGTTTGGTGCAGTTGTGGTAGGTGAATCTGAACGTTTTGTTGGGTTTAGAAATTTCAAGAAACCGGACTCATTTAAAATGTAAAATGTGTCAATTATTTGTAAGGACTGATGTCAAGACAGTTGAAATACACTAATTGTACATGTCGAAGGAACTGAATGAAGTTAAGATATTTTAGGAAATCTGGAATGAAAACGAATTTCTCTGTATTTTTAAACAATTACAAAACAGCAAGTGGAAAGTTTCTGTGAATTCCTTTTCAAATATATTAGATTTTTCATATTTTAAACACAATTTGAAATCGCCGATACTGTATTTGTACTTGAACACAAATTATTATACAGAATTTCACCCCCTTTCGTTTCGTCGTACAAAAACAGACATTACTTAAAATCTCAGTTAATAATTTTAATTACTAACTCTTACGTTATCATAATGGTATCAGATATGCAGTATATACACTTCAGTCTTACAGACAATTAAAAATATCTAAGTGACGTTTCAATTTACCGACATTTTTAATTTTAAGAATGCTTTAAAAAGTAAACTTAACAATGCAAATTTTGCATTGTCTAAATTTATATTTTATGTGTTTTGAGAAAACTAAAAAAAATACTGGGAAGCCAAAATTATAAAAATAAAAAAGTAAACGAAAAATAACTTCGTTATTTCTCATCTTCTGGGACAGTAACTTCTAATTCGAACAGAAAATAATTTTATAGTCGTGTCAGATATAACACGTACACCAAAAGAATATATTTTCGGAAATACGTGTCACGTGTGCATTCGTTTAAATATGGTGTTCTTTAAGATGAGGGAGTCACTAAGAATAACCTTGACGGAAATGAATAGCAAATCGTCTGTGTACAACAATTTAATTATTTAATATTATTTCGTTAGTTGATGCTATGTTCTGAAAACGTAGATTTTATAAGTGTTATTATTATTTTCTAAAATTATATTTATATAAATGATTTTGTATTTGAATCAGAAAAACGACTGTAGTATGAAAATTGTTGACTTTCTCCGGTTCCATTTCCAAATTAATTGTTACATCAAAATGTCCTTTCCGTGTTCATGTAATACAAGAAACATTACAGACGACAGCCGGAGATGGGTTTGTCTTCTTCCTAAAGAAATAAAATAATGTACTGATAACAAACTGATGACTCTGGCGTACCGTCAGTACATAATATATTCAATACGTCCTACTCAAAATAAAAAATAACTTACGTATTTTAAAATTGGCATCACACAGAAAATATTTATAAAACAAAAATTATCTTAATCCCATCGAAAGCAAAATTTAATATAGAGTAATTTAATAAATTATTAAATAAACAAATCTTCTTAGAAGATATACGAGGAATGAATAATAAATTATAATTATTTTCTTGAAATAAGAATACAAACAATTTTAGAAATGCAATAGCAAAGTCTAGACAGGTTCTGAGACCCATAAGCTGGGTACTGCGAGGGGCGGACTCCCATGGATTCAAATATTAATCAGCCCCCTAATAAAAACAGTGCCGAAGTTATGATCATGTTGATTTATAGCCTAAGTCTACTCCCCAAATGTTTTACTGCTCCAGTACTTAATTAAGTATCAAGAGAAAACATTACTGTTTTAAACCAGACAGGCCTACCGCATATAAATATTTGTATACTTGTAATTAATACAGGAATTCTGTGTTTATTTGTGTTTAATGACTGTTCGCTGCAGTTTGTAATGATTTTCATTATATTTCTTTCGAAACAAAATAATTACATACGCTAAAAATCTAAGTAAATCATTTAAAACATCAGGTACAGTCTATTACTGCCAAACAAACGTGTTTCTTTGTAAGATGGTTACAAAGTTCACATAAACAGTGAAAATTACGAAGAAAAAACAAAAATCTATTTCCTGACTTAACGCGTGGTACGCACTTCGTAGATTATTTGAACACGCACAGTGTACGATTCAGATAGTCATTAAACAATGTTAACTACGTAACCCGCCTCTCCTACAAATTCGAATCACAAAAACATTAATTATAGACGGGTAAAACTGTAATTACACCAAAAGGCCTAATTTTTAAGTTAATTCACAACTACACATTTCTCATCGATATCATTATAACATTCTTTCTCAGTTACTTTTAAAAAAAGTAACACTTCAAACAGAATCATTCTTCCGTCAAAATAACTGGTTAATATTTATAAATATTGCATTTTAACTTATGTATATTTGACGTAAAATGCATGTCGATGACAACCGCGAACAGAATAATATTTTCGATACAATTTGATACAGAGATTTTATATTTCATTTTAATATTAATTTACTTGTTAAATACAATTCACTTCTTTAACAATTTCATTACTCGTTAATTTGATGTACATTCATTTGCATAACTGCCGCGGATTGATCGTTAATTAATGTATGTTTATCCTATTATAGAAAATTTTGTATTGGTGTTATTTATCACTGTTGCTGAACGTGTATGTGTGCCTGTGTGTTCCGAACACTTCTTTTGTATGTGCGTACTTGCAATGATCACTTAATGTCGTATCAGCGAAGGCTGTATCATTTTAATGTCGTCAGTAAATTATAGACTATTAGTAATAACTTTTACGCCGATAAAACAGCTTAATGTCATTTTCAGTTGCTCGAAAATCTTCAAAGTTTTGTTTTAATTACGCGCTCCTCTGTCAATTTTGTCACTGCGCGTCGTTTGTCGTCATTTTTTTTTTTCCAACGTAGCTGACAGTTTGCATACATACTAGGGGTACCCCATCACGTCTTCCCTAATCGTTGGATATTTATTCGAAAAAAATCCTTTATCATACATTTATACAATTAATACAGGGCTGAATTTATTACTGTATTTTTAAAAACTATATCTGTCTTGACTTTCCTCGATTATTTCGTGTTACTCCGTTCATTAATTTGATTTAAATTTATTTTTATATCTCTTTGGTTAGGTTAGCACAGTATATTGAATAGCAGAACAACCTCGAACTTTTACGTTAATTCTAATTGAAATATTAATAAATTAAATTTGTTTTCCACGAACTTAATCTAAACATTAATTGATCACTGCCTGTACTTCAGTTTTCCTCTCAATTATGACGTGAAAATTTAATGGAATTTCGCGTGATGTCGTGTAACTTTGACTAAAGTGCTTAATGATGTGTGTTATACAAAGTACTTATATTACTAATGGTTGTCATAAGTTTGTTAATAATCACTGTCGAGGGACGACGTAAGAAGAAACAACACAGAAATGCAAATTATATGAATTATGTTTTATAGATTTGTTAAGAATAGGGATATATATTACCCAAAATTTTGATGTAACAGGATTTTCAAGTGAAGACTGATGCCATGGTATTTATAACGCATGTAAAATACCAGTACATGTAATCAATGGAACAATTAGTTCAATAAAGTATTTCATTTTTATACAGAATTATATATTTTTAAAAGATTAAAATTTTTCGACTGGGGCGAAATGCATTAAAATTTACCACTTTAAAGGCACACGACATAGGTACTGCACTAACAAGGATTAATCAGCGGTAAATGCCTGTTCTACTTCAAATGTGCTCATATATTTAAGATAAATTACTTTATTTAATATCGGACAATAATATATTTCAACCTTATTGAAAACCAACAGAACCCTTGAAGCCCAATCCAAAAAACACGAAATTAATTAAAAGCAGGTCTTAATAGAACATGTGAATTAACAAATATATGATATTCTGATTATCCAGTGGATGTCCAGTTATTTCCTCCGAGATGTTAAATTAACCATTCGCCTTTATGCGGTGCCAGGGTTAAGAATGAGTGGAGCGAATACCTCCATCACCATACGTCTGCATGGCGTGATGCTTATTTAATCACAAGGGGAAAAGAATTTAACTTAACATTCATTTTAAAGAAAAGGGTCCACGCAGAGATTCGAAAAAAAAGCAACCTTTGACCAAAACTACAATAATTATATTAATCATCCTCGAAAATAAATATGTCTAGATGGATGGTCTCTCCGATTCGATTCCGGTACTCCAGAATAAAATCCAGACACGGTACGAACTTTACCGACATTCTTTTTTTTTTGCATTAATTCGGGATTTTGTGAAATGTTCCGCGTCAGTGTGTTTAAATTCCGTCCTTCAAAATGCAGTTGTTTCCGAACATCGTCTGTCTGCCCGTCCATCACTTTCCTGAAATATCATATGCAAATCTATAGTTTCAATAATATTTCTGAACACCCTCGTCATATTTTCGATCTATAACAGCGGAATGAGTGATAGATCATAGAACAGAATTTCTCTATTAGACGAGTTGTAATCATCGTATGTTTCAAAAATTACACACCTTTTTCAGCATTCAAAAATGAACTAATTCCCGCATGAATTTCAGCCTCTTTTAGAACAAAATAGTCATTAAAACGTACAAACAACGTTAGTTTGTATAACAAGAAAAATAAGTACCAAATGTAATTTTTATCCACTCGTGGTTGTGGTGCATTTTTCTGGCAGAAATGAAGTACCATTTACCAGTTCTGTGGCTCGCTACTAGACTACGCAATTATGATGGCCACGCCTTTGATTAAACTCCACGGTAATTGTAAAAAATTACAACTGAATTTGATAATTATTCCTGAAACAACTGTAAGCAATTCTTAAATTTAATAAGCTTCTATGGTTTAGTCGTTACATAAACCCTAACCTTTGTCAACTTGATCGTAATAAAATTGTGGAAGTCAATTTAACAAAACGATTTATCTCAATGAATACATTACAATTATAGATCAATTTATAATGCAGTCAGAACAATGACTGTTTTGAATCTTGACTACAAATTATACGAAACACAGAAAATGCGTTTTTTTAATATAATTTATTTACAGGACTCCTTGTTACGTGACTTGCTTAAAAAATAAAAGTATACGAGGAACTTACGATAAATTTCATTAGGTATCAGAATTCCAACCAGACATAAACCCACCGTTGGTGTTCCAAACTCCCCAGTGCTGTACTCTGCATAGATGAATCAGCTCATTCTGTCGAAATAATCGCGATACCTCCCTCCACTCGCCGCAGGGCTTGTACCACGCAACGAGACAGCCTTATTTTTCATCTGAACGGGATGGAATTTGCTTGTTAATGCATTATCTACAGACACTGAAGTGTAGGCTAGCCACAGGGCGATACTTGAATAAAATGGTGGAAACTCCTGCATTAGAATTCTGCAGTGGAAGGTGGATGCACGGACGACGTAACGTAAGTGTTCATGGAACCTGAATCTGAAATGCATCGGTAAAATTGATAAGAAACACAAATCCCTCTAGTGAATCAGCGACGTAGAACTTCCAACATAATTAATAAAAAGCAATTATTTATTTTAATCCGTCTGATCACAATATTTAAAAATTTCTTATAATTAAGATAATAAAATATCATTGATGTTCCATATTCCTGAGGAGAATGGGTCATAAAAAATAGAACACATTTCACGTAATTTTAATACCACTGAACAATGAGATGGTAAGGTACGTAATAAATGTAATGACGTACATGAATTCTATAAATAACTTTCTCACAAGGAATATTCTTTACACAAACTTAAAATTGTGGGGGATAATTTAATCCTGAGCTTAATTTATAAAACAGCTTCAGAGATTACAGAGTGTAATTAAAGATAACAACATTTCATGAATCTTTCGTAATCACATAAAAATTACATAATACCACCTGACAAATAAACACAAATTTAAATTACATCTTAAGAACAATTGATAAACACGAAATTAATTACGAAGCAATAATTATCACTTAGGCCTACGCAGATATTAAAATATACACGTGAAATTGTATGTCATTATATTATATTAATCAATAATATCATTCCAGAAAGAAATTAATCCAATATTAAATTACATACTTAAATATTTTATAAATTTAATCAAATTTATCCACCTTATATCATGCTACAACAAACTATGAATGAATTTCTGAGGCATAAGATGACCATAATGACATTAAAACAAACAAGCAAGAGATTAATACAGATTCAATTATTAATATTTTTAAAAACTGATGTTTATACCAACTTCGCAGGCAGAATCACGAAGTGCGGACATTTGTTATAAAAACGAAATTACTTCTGAAACAATAGTACAAATTTAATGTAACACATCAGTTCTTAAAACATATTATGCTTGTAGGCTTCTAAAAATATTTCCGTCGTGGTCTTGTAAGTTATGATTACCACGTAATCTTATTAATGATCCATTAAATTCAAATGAAAGTATTTATTAAATATAACACATTTTTCGAGTAATTACTTGCAGCTTTAACAGCTGAATAAATTGTTAACAGGCACTTTCGAACAATTAAATTAAAATTTAATTCAAGTTTCATCACGGCGTGATCACGTGATTATCCAAAAAATGAATTACGTGTAGTTCTACCTAGAAGTTAGGAAGAAACGGATATTGGTAACACTGCTGTCATCTATGAAAAAAAAAAGTGATGTCCTCAACTGAACATAATATATCTATATATACACGTTACATTATCATTAATGACAATACTCATAAAAACGCGGTGACAGTTTTATGGCAGAATAATGAGCTTCCTCTGAACCTGGAGGTATATTTTCCCATTATCTCTGCAGTAGAAACACAATCTCATGCACAATATAGCGAGCGAATTTCGAGCTGTGAAACGGATTCAGTTATCAATGCGACACGACAACTTGTTTCAAGATAAAATGTTTTGTTTTTTTTGAGTGGTAGTAGTGGAATTCTATTTACGTCCGCCAAAATCGACAGTGATAACACAGCTTTTATTTTGAACAGCTTTAGAAATAACCTATTTTATAGCATTCAGCGTATTCAACCAATACTTTTTATAACCCAGCTGAAGTACATCTGAAAACCAATAAGGATTTGGTATGAATACGAGCTATACACTTAAAAGTTTCAGAGAATGATTTGATGTGGAGATGATTTATTTTATCTCAGTTTAAAGTTACGTTATAAAACGTTACATCTATGTTCAATTTTCTCTACTTTAATTAACTAAGGTTTTTATAATGGAAGAACTTTGTTGACCTAACTGCGTATTGGAAGACCTGTAGGTGGCAGTTGCTTTAACGCAATCCGACGTTTAGAATAGTTTATGAACTACGGTAGTCTCCTACAATAAAATACTACATCCTACTCTGTAATATTAAACTATTACCACACATCTTACTTTAAACTGAAATCGGCCATTAAGCCAAAACAAAGCAGGATTTGAGATTTTAGGTGCTATTATATAATGCCCAAATACAGACATTAATCTGTAATACGTAATTTACGATAATTTAAATGTAAACCAAATACGCGCATTTAAATAAAAAAGTTTTATAGATTTTATCCATCGTCTAATAAAATAATAAAATTGAACGACGTTTCGGAGATGGGACTCTATCACCGTCTTCAGGTATACCTACTCTGTTGGGCCCATTCGATAGAGTTAATCCCTAACTCCGGACCAACTTTTAGATATGATGAGATGGTAAAGTTGCGTCATATTGTGATATAATAAATATATATTATTTAAATCTTGTCCGTCTAATCACAATAAAGTCTTATTAAATATTAAAATATTACAATAATTAACATTTAAAATATTAAATGATGTTCTTTATCGAAATATTCGATTTACATTAAACCATCATCGAATATTTCGATAAAGAATATCATTTAATATTTTAAATATTTTAAATGTTAATTATTGTAATATTTTAATATTTAATAAGACTTTATTGTGATTAGACGGAAAAGATTTAAATAATATATATTTAGATATGATATAAATACGCGCACATGAAGATTACGTTCTGATGCAACTGATTCGTAATGTATATAAAAATGTTTTGTTTTAATTTGCGTATATCAACCAAAACAGGCATTGGAACAACAAAATTGAAAGTAATAAGCCTATATATAAGAATATTGTACTATTATCGCCTCAAATCCTATTGATAGACAGTAGTACAATTTCTCTCAAGAATTATTAATTCTGCATTTTGTCCAGAGAGAGCGTTTATGGGTTTAATATATTTCTCAGAATAAACAGAATTTATTTTCCTAAACAGAATTAACCAATTGATATTTCTAATGGAGATGCATTGTATTTTGATGAAGACTGTCCTCTGGGATGTTACACCATGTAATATCCTAGAAACTGATTCATATCTCTTATGTGCTTACGGCCTGCAAGTACCTCTGAAACGTCGACCTACTTCTACGACACAAAATCCAAGAAGCCATTTACCTATCATCGTATTCGCCACGTATTGTGTTTTGTTCAGAGTTAAGAACTTAACTCTCAAATATTACTTAAGTTAACTTCATCATCAAAAGGTTCTATGAGGGGTAAGATTTAAATTAGAGATAGATTGTATTAGTAAATTACGTGTAGCCAACCCCATAGAGTTAAAATAAATTTCAGCGTATCAGCGTGTAACAAAACAAATATGTCTGCAAATTCAACTAGAGAATAAAAATTCAAAACTCTCAACATGAGTATTTTACAAATACTCAGCTCATAAGGTCAGATTTAACGATCGATAAAAACAAACTTCTTCTCGTAAGATGAATCGATTCATTAAAATAAAATTCTTAATACACTTATCAAAGAATTTGGAAGATGAATTAGGATAAGGCATTGAGGATATCAGGGGTGTGAAATATTTACGATGTTTTGGTTCACAATCAGAAATGTTTTTTTAGAGAAGTAAGCTGTATTCCATTCGCTCCAACTGTTGTGCATGAGGTGTGAGAGACAAGACTTAAAACCAGCGCTACCCTCGGACAAGTACTGAACCTACCTTGGACACACAATCCCTACGCACGGAATAAGAAACATTATTTAAATTAATTAAACGTAAAATATGAATAAAACTTAATACATTTAAACTTTACACTTTGGTAAAGTAGAAATGTTTAAATAATTTTAATACTGATACAAACAATTTTATATGGTATCACACGTTAAATATAATTAAAATACATAACATAAATACTGTAACAGAAAAATGAAGGCCTTGGGGTGGGATGGGATAATATTCTCATTCGATTTTATGATTAATCTGAGTAGGGAATCACTAAATTATAAAAAGAATATTAACTTACTTCTTTCCAGTTAAATGTCCGGTACAACATTCTTACAGTAAGTATTTTTTTTTTAAAATTACGTCACTATTGCGCAGAATATTTATTTACAATTTCGTCTCCCAAATGTAAACTTTGTACAGCGCACTGAAGAAATGTGGAGTCGGATTTTGCTTCTCGTAAACTGCTGTTTAAAACTCACTGTCATAATTTAGAATCGAATCTTTTAAATCTCTAACGTCCTTACAGTTTGTTTTGATTATCAGTACTCTTTGTAGTAGTCAAATATCGAAGTTTCCATGGCAACGCTGCTCAAGATTTACGGATTGTTACCGACAATCTCGTGACGTCAGCACAGGCTACTGAAGACTGCACGTCATTGGATGGCTGAGCACGTGATCCAACAATGCCGGAGTCCCGGCAGCCAATCCCGTTTCTGTTCGACGGTCGTCATCATCAAAGTCAAAGTAGTGACTCTGGAAACAAAAGACAGCAGTAACCAACAGCAGACAAATTAACACTGCGATAATTTAAATATATTATTTACACTATTTAAATTTATTTAGTGTTCTGTCTGACGACAGGTCCATATGAACAGGATCCTTCCATCCTTTTCTCGGACTGGGACCTGTTCATATACGTTCTTGTGCAGATGATCCAGAAGTGGTTTGCCATTGCCTTCTTCTGTGTGTGAATGGAGTAATTGTTGGGATGCCACGGAGGTTCATCTGTCTCCCTCTTTTATTTCCATTTTAAATTTGTAGTTCCGTTAACATTTTTTTAGCGTGATTAAATAAGTATGAAGTGACGGATGGGTAAGCATGCATAGGGAAACTAGAAATACCACAAAGTTCGCTGAAAAGCTAAAATATAAACGTAAGCGTAGATTATTAAAATTGGCTGGAGAAAAAGTCCATTATATAACAGCATCACCTGGCATTCAATGCAACGGCAGCTGTCATTCATGCTACATGTTAGGCCCAGCAACGCAGCTGCTTCCCTGTACAGTTCGGTGCTGGATTTTCGTCTCTCTTTCCGGCGAGATTTACAAAGGAGACGGCCATTTTGTTTTCCGCTTTCACCTGGTGGTCGAGTGGACGAACTACTAGAATTTTCGCTATTGCTTTCTGCCACTAATGCTCTACCGGCAGGAGATCCGAACAAGCTCACCAGTCCTTCGACTTCCTGCAACGAAAGACAACACTTTTAAACACAACCACTCGCACGGAACACCAGAATGCATGCATTCTGTTTACTTCAGAAAATTGGGGTTAGGAAGTGACAGGCGCCGTGTGGAAAGTGAAATGCGTTACTGTCGGAACAGCCCACTCACCATCTGTACACAGATATTCACCCTGAAGATGGCAACTGAAACGTTCGCCGAAACATCGAGAAAAAAAACGTCAAACAATCGACGCGGCTTGAGAAATCGTAAGGAAAAGAAATTTCTGATTCGTGGAAAATCCAAATAAGTAACAAAGTAAGTAATTAACGGAAGAATTACTTAATTAAGCAGAAAATTGTTAAACTAACGAAATATTAAATTAATAAATAAACGAAAAATATATAAAAAAATAATTAATAAATACTAACGCACCAAAATATGTGAAATATCATATGCAAACATTTTTTTTTTTGTTTTCACAAAAATTATAAAATATATTACCACATGTGTGCACACACAAACATCTGTAAATCCATACGTGTAACGCACAAATTACACTCAGGGAGTGAAGTCAAACTGTCCACTGGATGTCTGTGTTTCTCCTGGCGACACAGAAGTGGACCTGTGCGTTAATTATTTCGAAATAGAGGAGGAACAGCGTACGGTTGGGTCCATGGCACATCCGATCCATCTTTTACGTTTAAATATTAGATTTATAACGAGCGTTAATGATTCTATGTTACCCTGAGGTATAAATTCGTGCTCAGTCGCTCCCTGATCGTTTGACGTTTCATCTGTCAGAACAATCATTGCTACAGACCAGCTACATAGAATATGGCAAAGGTATTTTTCCACATTACTATTATCCCATCTATTCACCACTTTATGGGGTATGTACTCCCATGTACCCGAGACAGACCTTGTCCCTAAGGTATTTTGTTTTTAGCAAGAGCCACATGTATTATACAATTTTATTTTATGACAGCGTCTTTCGGATGATGTATGAAGATCCTAAAATGGCGGTCTTCTACAGTTCCCTGATGTCGTGTTCGCCCGGGATGTTGGCCAAATATTTTCTGAGTGGCCTGGACACAGTTCCTGTTGTTCCTATAATTATTGGGATTAATTTGCTTATTATTTTTATTATTATTATTATTATTATTTTCAGAAAAAATACTGGCTACATTACCAGTGTTTTTTTGCATATAGGCTTACTATAGAAATGATCATGTCTGTATGTCGTTTCGAATTGAGGACCGCTCAACAGATTTTGTTGAAATTTGGCATGTGCGTTGTGCCACCCCAAACAATCTCACCCGGTATATCGTCAACCCTGACTTAATTTTTCTTGGTTTTCGTTACTCTGAGGATGAGAACTAAAACACGTACTGAAATATAAGAAAGGCCCCGATTTCTTAAACTGTGTCGAAATTAGATAAAAGGTCACGATAAACTTTTATTCTGCACGTGCCAGAGTTTACCACACGTGTACGAACGCTTAATATTTGCGTTTAACCGCGGACTGCAAGTCCACGCATTACAAACAAAGGAGGAGATAGTCATTTTTCAACAGTTCTGAGTAGACCATAGTTCGTATCCTTCAGACAGACACATGATAAAAAAAAAATTATTCTTCCTTCACGTCCACTTAAATTTCTCCTTCTCACTGGCGGCCATCTTAAATACTTTCACCCAGTTTTCTTTTGCGTTTTCAAGGGGTGTTGCGTGATGCACTCATATTAATAAAGCACCAGATGCGAGAAGAATGGATAAATGTCAGCTCGTTTTATTTTTATTTACTATCTCATACATCGAGAGGTCATCTTAAGGTTCCGCTGCTACCACCAGGGGTGCTGTTATCTATGCAGACCACTGCTCAACCAATCGCGTCTCTTCTTCACTGTGACTGCAGTCAAACTTAAAACTCTACTTAACGCTCCCTTGACGACCAAGTAAACAGAGAAGAACGGACAGAGGCAAGCAGTCACGTGTGAATAAAAAGTACCACCAGCCTCGAACTTTTTACAGGGGAGAAAAAGCTGTTTCTAGATCATTTAATTTTTCTTTTAAGAAAAGTTAGGAGTGACTCCGGGTTTTTTAAATTCACTCGGCACGGGTTTTGGTCATATCTTTTCACTTCACATGTTACAGAAGTATAAAACTTAAGTTTTAAAAAAGGTGGATGGAATTCAGCGGTCGCCGATTTATTTCGCATCCAATCCCTCGTCTGTTCTATCTTTACACCCTAAGTGTTCTTACGCCTAACCCCTGCCACATCTCAGTGCTTAATTAAAAATAAGACAAACATACGCCTTATTACAAACTAATACAGTGTATATTATACATATATTTCCTAACACCGATAAAAAAAATTAAAATTATCTTAAACATAATAGACATAATCATAAAATTTAATTAAATACCGCGTCTTTAATCATTCTGTAACTAGTAACACCTATTCGTCTATCATCAGTATCAGTATTACTGGATATAATTATTATACCAACTGCTCTAAATAAAAATCAATACAAAATGAACCCATAATAGACAGGTCTGCATTAGTTACTGACCTTAATCGGCGACAGTTTTCATGATGTGTTAGCGACTATAAGATTTCCATAATGGACACCCTCATTTTTTTATTTGTAGTGTTCTGTCTGACGACAGGTCCATATGAACAGGATCCTTCCAACCTCTTCAGGTTGTCAGGGACCTGTTCATATATATATACGTTCTCGGCAGAGATGATCAGAAGTGGTTTGCCATTGCCTTCTTCTGTGTGTGAATGGAGAAACCGGGGAAGCCCCCGGAGGAAAACTCCGTGATGCCTAGACCACGGCCTTGCCCAACACAAGTTATAGAGTTGAGCACCACCGGGAATGGAACCCGGGACCCCAGGCTTACAAGGCTAGTGTTCTGACCGCTAGACCACCCTCATACACATAATTAAATAGGGGTCGAAACAAATATCCAATGTAAACATCTGGTACTGAAAATTACAGTACGCGGATGCAATAATTAATTAATGACATCCTACGCTTTCGTCATAAAATAAGTTTAAATTTGTGACCACATCCAATATTGGGATCCGCGTAATTAATGCTCAGTATACAGTTTAATTAATATAGGTCAGTAATCCAAATAATTATGAAAATTTTCAGATTTTAAAATTTTGATAATGGGGTTGTTATTTACGGTCTATGGGAGATTAGATGATTTAATGGCTTGGGATGTTGTTGTTTTTACGTCAGCGATGTGATGAAAAGGCGTAATTGTTTCCAAAGCCGTTGCCAAGCAACAGAGAAATTTAATTTGCTTCAGAATTAAGTATGTCATATTTGCATATTAGTGGGACCCTCAGGCAAGTGACCTTTTATTTAAAAAGGAAAATATTAAACAGGGAACGTCTAATATCCGTGTTTTTCCCACTTCTCATCGCTAACTCAACTCACGAACATCCACGTGTGAGAATAACAACCACCAAAAACTACAAACACACTTAAAAGACACCGCGTGTCATGACAGATTTTTTGCCAGAAGTAGGACTCAGTAGTTTTATGGTTAAAAAATAATAGCGAGAAGGTTTAAATGATTATAAAGTTTAATTTACTTTTAACAAAACTATAAATTGTATTAAAATAAACTGAAATACATTGAACAAAACTTCAATTTCAACTATGGCTCTGGATATATTCATGCCTAATTTTCACCCAATGTTGAATTTAAAATACAACCCTAAATACTACAGACAAACCCCAAAAAATCCTTATGTTCATAAAATAAGCTTACAGTTTTCATGATGTGTTAGCGACTATAAGATTTCCATAATGGACACCCTCATTTTTTTATTTGTAGTGTTCTGTCTGACGACAGGTCCATATGAACAGGATCCTTCCAACCTCTTCAGGTTGTCAGGGACCTGTTCATATATATATACGTTCTCGGCAGAGATGATCAGAAGTGGTTTGCCATTGCCTTCTTCTGTGTGTGAATGGAGAAACCGGGGAAGCCCCCGGAGGAAAACTCCGTGATGCCTAGACCACGGCCTTGCCCAACACAAGTTATAGAGTTGAGCACCACCGGGAATGGAACCCGGGACCCCAGGCTTACAAGGCTAGTGTTCTGACCGCTAGACCACCCTCATACACATAATTAAATAGGGGTCGAAACAAATATCCAATGTAAACATCTGGTACTGAAAATTACAGTACGCGGATGCAATAATTAATTAATGACATCCTACGCTTTCGTCATAAAATAAGTTTAAATTTGTGACCACATCCAATATTGGGATCCGCGTAATTAATGCTCAGTATACAGTTTAATTAATATAGGTCAGTAATCCAAATAATTATGAAAATTTTCAGATTTTAAAATTTTGATAATGGGGTTGTTATTTACGGTCTATGGGAGATTAGATGATTTAATGGCTTGGGATGTTGTTGTTTTTACGTCAGCGATGTGATGAAAAGGCGTAATTGTTTCCAAAGCCGTTGCCAAGCAACAGAGAAATTTAATTTGCTTCAGAATTAAGTATGTCATATTTGCATATTAGTGGGACCCTCAGGCAAGTGACCTTTTATTTAAAAAGGAAAATATTAAACAGGGAACGTCTAATATCCGTGTTTTTCCCACTTCTCATCGCTAACTCAACTCACGAACATCCACGTGTGAGAATAACAACCACCAAAAACTACAAACACACTTAAAAGACACCGCGTGTCATGACAGATTTTTTGCCAGAAGTAGGACTCAGTAGTTTTATGGTTAAAAAATAATAGCGAGAAGGTTTAAATGATTATAAAGTTTAATTTACTTTTAACAAAACTATAAATTGTATTAAAATAAACTGAAATACATTGAACAAAACTTCAATTTCAACTATGGCTCTGGATATATTCATGCCTAATTTTCACCCAATGTTGAATTTAAAATACAACCCTAAATACTACAGACAAACCCCAAAAAATCCTTATGTTCATAAAATAAGCTTATGGAGAAGAGAAAGACAGATAAACGCTGACGCATAAAATTGGGTTACACGTAGGAGACGAGAGTAGGTCCGCCATCGTAGTCCCTACGCACCAAAACTCCCGTCTTTGTCTCATGTAAACCTCCCCCCCCCCCCCACCCCACCATCCAAAAATATGGATCTAATAATTGCTCTTATATCAATCGACGTATACATTTCAAGAGGTCCTCTCCAACTTCTGGCTTCTCTCTTGTTAAACTCTCTCTTCGCAGGTCCATTAGGATAACAACGTGTTAAATGCTTCGTTAGGTCAGCCTGATGACGTCCATTACCCTCAGCTTTCAATGGCTTGCATTTGCTGGCGGGCAGTGGATTTAAAGACCACAGCACGCGGCTTTTACAAATTAATCACGCCGTCTTACGTCTCAAAATTTCTGACGATGTACGTATTTATCGCGCTTACCTGTATTTCTTCTTACAACGCTGTCAGTAGCTCATATTTAATTGGTATAATAATGGCAAGATCGATAAACTAGAAACGACATGACGTAATTTAAGGTACTATTATAGTACTTTACTGGAGGGACTGAGGAAAACTGTTAAGCATATGGGTGAGGTTGAGTGAGATTTCAGGTCCTCACGGTGGGGATTATGAAGATGGTTGTCTTCTAGGTTGCTACGCCGTATAGTCTGGTAAGAGTTTACCAACGTTGATGCCTCCATCATCAGGGCGATGAGTAAAATTGTATTAGACTACACTGGGCAAAAACCCAGATGACAGCCATGTTCATGACTCAGGATATTCTATCTCCAGGGTCCCCTGCCTCCGAGTCGATGAGACTGTGTTAATGCTGTCGTCAGAAACTCTGCATCGGCTGACTTGGAATGTCTGTCTCCCCCAATCCTGGTTGAACACACAAGTGAAGGCGCATCGAGGGACACGGGGACCCCACCATCAAGGGGCCACGTCACTGCTTATGGTCACTTACCCCACAAGCGTCCGCCGTGTCCAGGACGTAGACGGTGTTATTGGTGTACCGGAAGTACAAGTCTTCGAGATCTGGAACCGGAAACACTGGTTAGAAAGACATTACACTCGAATTACGTGTTACCACACCCTCTGTCATTAAAAGAAAAAAAATCCCTCGTGCCAGCTTATTAAGTATTCCTGACACGAGAATTTCACTACCTTGGGTCAACATCTCACATTTCTTATTTCTATCGCTTACGTCATTTCCGGTATAAAACGCCATATCACTGAACGTCGGTGACGAATGGTTGGCAATCCTGTTTCGCATTCAGGAGGTCTCGGGTTTGAAGCCTCGGCTCAGGTCATAACATGGGCGCCTATTATTACAATATTAAAAGCTAAAACGCTGTAAAAATATTTTTCGCTCCTCTCCTTTCCAAGAAGCACACACAAATGTAAATTTCGCATAAATATACTTCTAGAACTACCTGAATATTATTAATTAAGGTCGAAACATGTAGTGGATCTTAATAAACATTACGATCAACACGCAACAAAAAAAAAACTTTATATTTTATTTGACTGAAATTCAAAAACAGCGTTAAATACGGAGAAATTTTACGTGAATTTTAAACTTAAAGTCTTTTCAAACCGGGGAATTTCGGGCTGAAGATAGTGTGTGATTCAAGAGTTGAACCGAAGACAGCCCCAAAGTCCTGCTTTGTGGCAAGCCGCGTACAATAACAGCCTTGTGACCAAATGTGGGGGTCCCACAGTTCACGGGGGCAACCCCTCTGTCCCTTTAGCAGTGACGTAAGCTTTCAACGTTTCTTGTATTCTCTGTGCAGAATCCTTGCACGTGCTATGTGGCCTGAGGGCTTCGCTTTGTGCGTGCTATTACGGAGTTTCAAAATGGCCGTAATTAGCAACGCCTGCAAGTTCCAGGGGTTCAATGGAGAACGATTTTGGGTGGGGGGGGGGTGTTCGAAACAATTTAGAAGCAACTGATGTGACCAGACAAAAGTACCTTATAATAATATCGCCAGCCGAATGTTCATGTTTTATATCTATCAGTTAATTCTACTTCTACTAAAAACTCAAAAGATATATTTACTGACGTGAAACGTCAGTAAGGGCTTTTAAAAAACAAGATAACGAAGACAATTTATGGACGTAAAATGAACGGAGAGTGAGCAGAGCCAAATCGTATGAAATGGGATCCATAATTTGTATTTTTCATCAAATATTATTACGACGATTAAATCAAGAACGATGAGATGGTCGACATATGCAGCCCGCATGGCAGAAACGCGAAATTCAGTTCTGATCTTGAAACAGAAGGAAAAGACATTAATTTTCAAGAAGTAAACATAGATACGATAATGATATCGGAACCAATCTTGAACAAATACGGCGGTAGACCGTGGTCTGGATTCATATAGCTCAGAATAGGGCCCACTGGCAGGGCTTTTGTGAACACGGTAATGAACCATCGCGATCTATAAAAGACGTCGAATTTCTTGACCAAAACTGATTCCTCTTATCAATAATTCTGCCACAAGGAATTAAAATATGCGAGAATACCATTAGAAAGGGATTTTCTTACCCCATAAATCTTACACGTGACTGGGAGAAATGTACAACATTCTATTCATGGCGTCTTATGCACCTTTGCCTTCTATAAGACAACGTCGAATAGTTTAATCTTGTATTGTATGATAGTTCTGCTTGTTTTAGAGTAAATGTCGTAATGTAAAAGCGAGGGGGGGGGAGAGGGGATGGGGGAAGCGAAAAGTGGCCTCAGTTTCGCTATTGTCTATCAAAGACGAAAATTTTATGCCATAAACTCTGATAATGCCTCTCAGATGGAAGATTTTGTAATGGACTGAACATAAATTGTTAAAGGTTCTGTATAATTTGAGGCTTTCACGGAGGTGAGTCTGAAGATGGCTTGTCTACTTCTCGGTTGTTGTGCCATGTAGTACGAAACGTCGGCAAACTTCTATCAGACTACACGGGGCAACAACTCAGAAGTCAGCCATCTTCAACTGATATTCTTTCGGTGATATAAGACAGAATTAGATTTTGTCTTACGTTTAGTTACCAAACGCGGTAACATCTTCTGTGTCCTTTCATAACAAACATTTCAGAAAACCAAAAACTCCTCTGATGACGAACGTCAACCGAATCTCAAAAGCTGATCCTGTCGAAAGGATGTCTCTGGAGATTAAATTGCAGTACACGGACGTGGAAATTAGAATTTTTAATATTTTTTTATTTATTTTCTTTTTGTAACACTATTAGTTTGTTTCACAGAACAATGAACAACTAACATAATATGCAACATAATAAGAAGATCAAAGAAAACACCTACTATAATAATCTACAAAACAAATATAATAAATGAAAAGCTTGCATTAATAAATATAGAATAGTTTTAAATATAAAAACCTGAAGATGATGCTATGACATCGAAACATGTAGAAATATTAAAGCGCAACATTGTAACATCGAGTTAACGATGAATGGCGCAGAATATCAATTTTAAATTTTAAATTTTAACATCAATAATTTAAAAGTTTGTGTATATGACTTGAATAATAAATATATATGTGACTATTAGTTTGGCTACCGTAATATTATATCAGAATCAAATCAAAGAGAATGAGAGGGGAAGACCACGCAGCACAACGTAAGATGATAAGAAATGCATACAAAATATCAGTCGGGAAACCTAACCTGATCGGCAGAGGCGTCTTGGAAAACCAAAAAAAAATAGTAAAATTGTATTATAGTAATTTTAAAATGGAGGTTGAGGGGGGGATGGACTGGACTGAACCGGCTCAGAACAAGAAGATGCAACATGATCTTCTAACACTTGGTAATGAATCTCTGAAGTTTTATAAAATACATTTCATTAACCCGGTCCAAATCTCCCTGTAATGTTTTTGTAATTAGTGCATCAGTTAAATCCCTTCGAACGAAGTGATCATATTATGGAACTGTGTTCGTTTATGGCGACATGATTGAAGAGACAAACCCCCCTGCCCCCCTGCCCATGATAATGTGTTGTATTGTATTGTATGCATGACAATGCATCACCCAAGCATTTATTTGGCTGAGTTTAATGAGTCAGACATTTACTGAGTACGAATATTATACTAATTGCAGTCATTTATGTACTGTGAACACTGGCAACTGCTTTTGACCACAGAAACAACAATTACCACCGAAATATATTGTTTGAACACGCAACCTCAGTTATGTCCGTGCCACATTCTGCATTCTCAGCTGCTTCTAGACCAACAGCTCGTGTTTTAAACAAATTTACAGTTTGTACGATCTCAAGGTACATCATCACATTACACACGACCTGAGTTTAATTATCCAGTATATTAAACAAAATAAAAAAGAATAATTTCGTGTATGTTGCGTTGGTCCTCTGCATCGTAACGCAGTGTGGACGCGTGCATTTCGAAGGAACCCACTGCCACTAGCTTCGGTACTGAGGCCTTGAAGATGGAGGCAGTATGTTCCTTCAAAACGCTGATGTCTACCTACAAGGACAAATGGTGTTACAACCCAGGAGACCGACACCGAAGTGAGAACCTCAATTTTTTTTAAAAAAAAATATCTTATTGACTTTCGATCGCTTGAACATGTAATAAATTGAGAATAAAGCCTTAGTTTGATGACTGAGTTAATCTAGATAAAATGCCCCATTTTAAAAAAGGGGAGACAACATGGCAAACGGACAGACACAGACGCACACACGTCTTATGTAATATAGACAAAAGAGAGCGATTATTTACCTCGCAGAATGAACCAAGATTTTTAATATGCGTCACATCAACTGACAGCGTCAGTATAAACCGCTGTGAGCTAAGGAAGATACAAAGTTACATGTCATAGTCATCTGATAATAACGTATAATAAATTATTCTCGGGTAACCAGCCAAAACACAACGCGTCACCATTACAAAGATCGACTGGTTAACGATGCTTAAAGAAATAATCGCTGTTTACAGTGAGATTCACGCGAAACTCATAGATACAGTGCGTAGGCGTCTAGATAACATTTAAGAATTCAGTCCGTACCGCGAAGAAAACACCACGCTTCACCATTAAAAAGATCAAGTGGTTAACGCCGTTTAAGGAAATAATCGCTGTTTACAGTGAGAATCGTACGGGACTAATATATACAGTGCGTAGGCATGTAAACAACATTTAAGAATCCAGTCCGTACCGCGAAGAAAACACCACACTTCACCATTACAAAGATCAAATGGTTAACGCTGTTTAAAGAAATAATCCCCGTTCACAGCGAGATTCATGCGAAACCCCCCATAAGTACACAACGCAGAGTAAGTTAATTGCTGGAACAGGTGGATTTTATGGGGTCAACAGGTCTTTCAAGGCCGAAGAAACGAAAATATCATTGCATAATTCCCCCGACGAGGTCCTGCAGGCAAACACCCAAAGTATCATCAATCTCCAGAGTATGAATTTCCGTTCCGAAATCCTGACCTCTCACCCCCTCGGTTCTGGTATCATGCGTATTGAGTGAACTCAGCTCTGCCCTTTCTGGAAAGGTCGAAAGGTCACGCAGATGCAATGAGTTCGTCCATAGCGAGGATGATGATGATGATGATGAGATCCCTCCACAAGCAATAATAATCACTCACAGAGTTACGAAATGATATGCATCAGCAGAAGAAGCACCAGGCCTTTTCACCGTCCGCGTTTTTCAGAATCATTTCGGTTCTTGCATGTAATTCGCTTAATAATTCATGAGAATTCAAATTTGAAAATAACAGAACTCTTTCGGAACTACACACAAGTAGGCGAATAATTTATTACATAATAAATAGCGGACTACTTCTTGGAAAATATTCAAATTTATTAAAAGTCGATATTCGTATTAACTGCGCTGAGGTGTGTTCCACTGAATTCAACTAAGCTCACGTATTACTCCACACAAAAACATCTTCCTCCTTAACGGTCAGGAGGTAAAACTTCCAGGACATTCAAAATATTCTAACGGCCTCGAAAATTATGTATTATTTTTTCCATCGCCGAGAGCCTCGGAC